TTTTTCTTATCAGTTTTGTATATTAGGGTTGTGTGTTAGACCTAATGTTGTTAAATGAATGTTTATTGCATTATTTCAGTGTCATGTGTGTTACCGTGATGGTGTTTGGTGTTTGTGTGAATGACACTGTGCACCTTCTATATATGTTATTATTTAAAAGCTGCTTGTGATGGGCTTTGGTTCATCATGTGACTTTCTCATCACCTCCTGCATTTGGTGGTTATCAGTGCATTACAAAGGTAAAAAACTGTTTTCAGTACTTCAATAGGTTGGTATATTAACATTTTATCAGTTAATGAAATTACAGTATTTAACTGTAAATTTAAGTTAAAACCGTAAAACCTAAAACGTTGCTACCGTATTTTTTACGGTAAAATTCCGGCAACCACAGCTGCTGGTTTTTTACCGTAAATTTTACGGAATTTTTTTTACAGTGTACGTCTATTAAAAGATCGCTTCATCTGGAAAGCATCTGCTGTGTACAAACATCTGACAGACGTATTTAAGATGTCAGTTTTACATGCATTCTGAATCATAAACCTCTTAAAGACCTCTTCTGAATGTCTATTTGACATCTGATAGGAAACGTCCTATAGTCGTATTGCAGATGAGCAAACACTCTAAAAAACATGTCAAATAGACGTCTCTGAGAGGTACGTGTGCTATCGGGATGATCTGTGTGCAAACATGCAGGCCCGTCCTTTTCTTTTAGAAATGACATTTTGATGTTTTCTAATACACAGTCAGGGCTTGACATTAATTTGAGCAGTGGCAGGTAACACGGTCACTCCCACTAGACACTTTGGAGGGTTACATTTTATTTCTGAAGGGGCAAGTGAAAGAGAATTTGACTAACCCGACTGGACATCTAATCTGATTAAGACATCTAATTAGGGAAGCATGTTCTGCATCTGGCTAAATTACTTCCTTAAATTCCGTTACTACTTACATTCTACTTTCATGTGGTATTTTTTGTATTATTTAGTTGTTAACATCTAAATATGTTAACTTAAAATTCATTATTCTTATTATACAGTACATATATATATATATATATGTGTGTGTATAATAACCAAAGAGTGCAAAGCTTTTCTCACATTCTTCAATGTTTTTATATTTTATATGCAATTCATTGAATATATAAATATATTACAGTATATTATATAAATATGATATACTAATAATTCATAGTGCAAGGAAAACAATTATGAACAGATGTTTATTTCAGAAACAGCACACCATCCAGGCACATTTGGCAAACTTTTATCAGTGTACTTCATTTAAGGATGCAATATCCTTAATCTTGCATACTATACAGTACAGATTGTAGACAAATTGGGATGCAGCCTTTGAGATTCCTCTATTAACTGCATGATCTGCTTGTGCACACACACACACACGCACGCATGCACGCACGCACACACACACACACACTCTCTCTATCTTGTTCTCACACACACACACACACACACACACACACACGCTCTCTCTCTCTCACACACACACATACACACACACACTCTCTCTCTCTCTCTCTCTCTCTCTCTCTCGTT